GGGGGGGGGGGGGGGGGGGGGGGGGGGGGGGGCGGGCGGGTTGACCTCGTCTTTGATATACCATAGGCCAGCCGTCTCTTTCGAGACACGGAGCCCCTTCCCTGCACTTATGCGGAAGAGGCACCACCACCAGGATGCGCGGGCTCTGTCTCTCTACTTTTCTGCGCTATTTTATCAATTCAAGAACATGTCGCTCTAGTTTCGCATCCCCCGTCGTTTTCGGCACATGACGACCACCACCTCTTCTCCAGATGTACTGTCTGCGATCGATCACAAAGTGACCGCGCCACTTTACGTATGACACGACACGTGGTTGCGGCGGAGGTGCAACACTCGCGTGTTTTATTACACAAGGAGCGGACAAACGCCCACTTCGGACCAGCTCCAGCGAACATAAACGCACGAAACAACAGCAGTGCATTCGGATACTAGAAAGTGCTGAGCGGAGACCGAAGTAGTTTTTAACGGGAAGACAACAACGACAACAACAACAACAACAACAACAACAACTCGGAAGGCATCGAGGCAGCAGCAGCATTCTTCCCAGAACCAAGCCATGCACGATAACGGCTACGCTTTCTAAGGCAAAGCTGTCTTCCACCCCTGTGGGTGAAGCACGTAAAATCGTTTTTTTTCTTGTTCTTACCGGTAGCACCCTCCACAGGAGAACCTGCGCGCTCCACGGCTGCGAGTCCACCAAAGCGATGCGGTCGGAGCCCTATAAAGCAACGACGCGAACAACAAAAAACGTTAGAAGCAAAAAAGCAAAAAATACAACAAACGAGAGCAAGTCAAGGACACACCCCGAAAACAAATAAAGGCATTGCTGTTAAACAAAAACTTGGTGTATCAATGCGTGGACAGGTCCTAACCAACATGAAAAAAACAACACGATATCAACAAGCGGGTGGAGGTCCCGAGCGCCGGAGTTGGGCACACGGATGTTTTCCTCCTGTCTTTGCCGCGGAAGGGTCGTGTGCCGTCTTCTTCGCCGTGCCGTCTTTCTCGGCGTGCGCAACGCCTTCCAGCGGAGGTCACGCTACATCATCGCCGTGCACCTCCCAAAAAAATCCCAATGTATTGACTGCGTGCTACCGGGCGCGGCAACACGCACGCTGCGGTAGCTATGGTAGCGGCAGTCTCTCTTTGGCGGTGGTGGAGGTACGCCCAAGACAAGACAGCCGTGCTTTCCGGCAACCCACAACTCAAGCCACGAGAGCTTTCGTTCATACACCGCTGCAACGATGCGCGAGACAATTCGCTCGTACCACTACTGTAGTATACTATGATGCACGGCCGCCGCGGCGGCGACACAGCTGCCCGCGTCATGACAGCGGCAACGAAGCACCCACCCCCTTCCGATCCCAACGCCTCGCTCTCTGGTCGAGCAACACACGCCTCCGCACCTGCAGAGACAGCAGCGAGCTGGACAGATTGGACCTCGCTCTCCTCAGGAAGTCGAAGGCCACGATGCCCTGCGCCCCGGCATCGCCGCCGACACCCGCCGCCGCCCCGACCGCGCTCCCAACCGACATGAGGCGATACCCCTCCCTCTCCCACGACAGCGCTCTCGCGCCGCCGGCAATGAGATCGAGCGTCCCGCGGGCCGCCCGAGACGGCGACAGCGGCGGCTCCGAGGATGACTCCCGGTGCCCGTCGTCGTCCCCGTAGCCGCCGTTCGGCGGCGCCACCCCGTTCGCCGCCGCCGCCGCCGCCGCCGCCGCCGCCGCCGCCGCGCCCTCGTAGCCATCCAGGTCGTCTCGAGACTCGGTCGTGGTGCAGACGAGGCGGGTGCCGTCTTCGGTGCTCCAGACCGTCAGGGCTCCCTCGTGGCCCACGGCGAGGGCCCCGCCGTCCGCAGAGAAGCAGAGGGACAACACCTACCATGTGCCCCGCGAGGGGCCCCGTGAGTGGTGCGGTAGTTTGTTGCCGTCGGGCGTCGATTTTGTTGGTTGGGACGATCGGGGGGGGGGGGGGGGGAATTTTTTTTTTGCCCCCCTGGGTTTTCGGGGGGGGGGGGGGAACCCGGCAGGCAAAGGTGTAACCCCGGGAGAAAACAAAACGACTTTGTGGTTGTTTTTTTTTTAAAAAACGGGGGAAAAAAAAAATTTGGAAAAATTTTCCCATAAAAAATAATTTTCCCGAAATTTCCACACAACACAACAAGGGCCCCACGGGCGGGGGCCCCCCCCAAAAAACCTCCCCCTCCACAGGGAACAACTTTCCAAAAAGAGGGGAAATTCCTTTTTCTTTCATTCCCAAAGGGCGCCGCACCCTTGGCTCCCCTCCCCCCCCCCCCAGGGGCCAAAAAAATCTCCCCCCCCCCCCCCCCCTCCCCCGGG